GTGGGGCCTTAAAGGTGAGAGGGATGCAGAAGCAGCTAGGGGGTGGGGAGAAGACCCTGAAAGAGGGCCTGACTTAGCTATACATGGTTACTGGTACTCCAGGCCCTCACTCATAGGCAGTTGCTCCCATTCCCCACCAAATCCCATACACATAGGAAGAACTGCAGGAGCAAAGCCAGCATCATTTAGGCCTGCTGATTATTCATCATCGGACAGGGGACCCCCTTCTTCCTTTCTCCCTATAGCCTCTTGTGGGACATCCCTGTCACTGGCTCCAGGGGGTGGTCCAAGGAGAAGAGGAGATGCTCTGGGGGAGCACTCAGGCTAATGGGAGAACAGATGTCCAGAACACCCAGACAGACTGATGGCTAGAACTCTGGACCTAGACAGAGCTGTGGATACCAGGGATGGTCATGGATGGGGAAGCCAGCTGGATGGAAGACTGATTTTCAGTAAATGTCCTCAAGGATGGAGGATGGAGCAGAGCTGGGGAGCCAGGAAGCATAAGCCCAGGCTAGAAGAGATGCAGCAAGTGGGAAAGCCACAAGGTGGAAATAGTCACGGAGCCACCCACTATACTTCACTTGTTCAGTGGGCATGTCATGGCTGATGGAAGCAGCATGAGGCAGGTGGTGAGGGCTGCAAGTGGGGCCTGCAGAAGGGGATCCTTTCTCATCTATGACCTCCATTCTCCAAAGAATGTAGTGGCCGTGGGGGCTGGCTTCTGCGATGGGCTGGGCTTTGGCGACAACACCAAGGCAGCGGTGATCCGACTGGGCCTCATGGAGATGATCGCCTTCGCCAAGCTCTTCTGTAAGGGCCCTGTGTCCTCTGCCACCTTCTTGGAGAGCTGTGGTGTTGCTGACCTCATCACTACCTGCTACGGAGGGCGGAACCGCAAGGTGGCCGAGGCCTTTGCCCGCACAGGAAAGGTGGGCACTGGGGAGAATGGAGAACAGAGGGTGGGCCTTAGAGGTGTCAAGGTAGAGGAACCTGGCTTGAGGTGTCTCTTGAGCATAAACATTAAGCTGTTGTAAATATTGCTAGCCTTGCTTTCCTCTATGACCTTCCACCTCTCATCAGAACCTCCGACTCTCAACCTCACACTGACAATCCTCCTCTCCCATTTCCATCCACCTGTCCTGTTTTCTTCACAGTCCATTGAGCAGCTGGAGAAAGAGATGCTGAATGGGCAGAAGCTACAGGGGCCCCAGACAGCCCGGGAGCTACACAGCATCCTCCAACAAAAGGGCATGCTAGATAAGTAAGTGTCTGCCACAGCCCCACTGGTGGAGGGAACCACAGCCAGAAGTGCTCTCCCTATTCTTCATCTTCTTGAACCCTCCTCAATCTGTGAAGTGGGCAGAGAGGGAAATGTTATCTCATGTTAACAGACACAGAGACCAGAGCTTGGAAAGAGTCTGGATGCCCACTGTCCCCCAACTAGGAGTTCATGGTCTTTGAACTCCTTCCAGACTAGTGATCTTTATACCACATTGCTTCGACCCCTCTGCATAGCCTCCCTCAATTCTTTCCTCATTCTCTGCTATGGGGGTTGGAACTCTGGGGCAGCAGGAATAAGCTCACCTGATTGTCCTGTTTTTCTGTCTATCATCCCGAGTCTAAGCTGCTCACCTAAAGCCAACCCTCTGTCCCTGAATACTGTCCTGGGTGCTGAGGTGTGAGGACAGTCTCTATGTCAAGGTGTTGCTTTATGTAAAGCACAAAGACAAGAGAGGGTGATGGGCTGATCAGAGCAGAGCTCTGTTGGCCGAGAAAGAATCCTGGAATAAGAGAATGAAACAGGCTCAAAAGATCAGCTCATGGCTGGTCAGAGTCAGCCTCCTGGTAAAGCAAACAGCCTGGGCAAGAGGATGAGAAGAAGGAAACTGGCATTTATGAAGCACCTTCATAGAAAACATACTCACTTCAGTGCTTCTCACATTGGCCCCATTTTACAGTTGATGATACCGAGGCTCACAGAGGTTAAGTGGTTTGTCCACTTGGATCAAAACAATTTCAGGGAATCATGTTGGCCAGTTCAATATGATAGGGAGCAAGGCAATTAACAACCTGACCCTAAAACCCAGAGCTAGGAAGTTCAAATTCTCAGCAACTGGAAATTGAGAGCCAGAGTCTACCTGAACTCCAAGGTGGGAGAGTAGGAGAGTAGAGGGTTAGGAGGGGATGGGGAGTGGGGGTTAGAGGATGTACAAGGAGGCTAAGCTGGGTCTCTCCCTCCCCATTCCAGGTTCCCTCTGTTCATGGCTGTGTACAGAATATGCTACGAGAGCCAGCCTGTGGGTGAATTCATCCGCTGCCTGCAGAATCATCCAGAACATCTGTGAGCAGGGCTGTGGCCAGGCCAGGCAGTTTCTTTACCCCAGTGGAGACAGGCAGAAGCTTGTGTACCTGGCCACCGGGATATTTGGGACCCCCCACAGAGCCTCTTCTCAGCTTTTCACCCGACAGGAAGTTGTAGGGCCCAGCGACCTGTTTGGAGACCCTGAACCACCAAGCAGCCTGCAGCCTCTTGCCACATCTCAGCAGAAATGGAGATGCCTCGATCCTCTCCAGATGTGGCGCTTTCTCCCTGTCCTCTGGGAAGGCCCAGTGCTGCCTACTTTGGGTGTGGGGTGCAGGGAGAAGGAAGTAAGGCAATAGGTGCCCCCTGCTGCTTCACACAGAACAGGAGTCCTGTCCCCAAGCCCAGTTAAGTAGCTAAAGAACTATCTCAGCCACAAGAGGGATGAGGCAAGGGCTGTCAGAGAGGGGTCTGGGCTTTTGAGCTGACATAGGGACTCCTTTGCTCTGTCTGACCTCTGCCAGGCCCTGCACAGCATCAATGGATCTCAGTGTTTGTTAACAAAATACAAAGATCTCAACCCCCTTCTAGCTTCTCCTAGCAACATCTGCGTCCTCAGAAACCTCTGGTCATTCCCTTTCCCCTCCCCCAGGCTGCCCTGGCACCACAGTGGCTACCAGGCTGGCATCTCTGGCCCTGGGGCTTGTCATTCTCCCCATGGACTTCCTGGTTCCTAGATTTTTGCCAGCTCCTCCCCACAGTGCGTGACCTTTCCAAGTCTCCCCTCCCGCTCCCCGCCAGCACCCTCTTTGAGGAGCAAGAACTTAATCTGTTGACAGAGCTGCACCTTTCCACAGCAGGCTCAGATCTCTGCTCCCTGTGACCTTTGCATTTGCCCTGCCTCCCTTCTCAGGAGCTCTAGTGACAGGGGAGGTTTCAGCTGGGTTCCTCCTGCTACCTCCTCAGGACATCCTTGGCTCCACCCCTTTCCTTCTCCCAAAGCCTGAACCAGGTGGCCAGAGAGTGGCCCAAAGCTGATCAGGGGTAGGGAAGGGTGACCATGCCCCATGTTGGTGGATCCTGACATTCCAAGGCCAGCCCTCTGTCATCTGATATACACGCCTTCTCACAAGGTATGTATCAGCACTCTAAGAGCTAGGAAACTGGAGGAGGAAAAGAATGAAAAGCACCCTACCCCTAAAGCAGCGGTTTTCAACCTTTTCATTTCATGACACACATAAACGAATGACTAAAGTTCTGTGGCACATGAAAAAATATATTTTTTGCCAATCTGAAAGAAAAAAAAAGGCATAGTTTTGAATCATTCACACTGGACAGCTATTGTTGTGTTGGCTGTTGTCAGATTTTTATTTGACAACTTCAGGGAAAAGAGGTCAGTGGCCCTGACTAAATAGTCAGGTATTGCATGTTTTTAACAAGTCCTTGCAGCACACCGGCCGCCTGGGTAGGGGAAGAACAGGAAGGGAGGAGGGGGAGGAGTGTGCTTGGCACTGGCCTGGCTCCAGGACGGGTGGCAGCAGGGAATGTCCAGGTCAGCAGCCGAGGCTCCTGGCTATAAATAGCCCCCCCTTCCACCCCTCAGGGCCCAAGCTGCTCCTAGAGTCCAGCAGAGGGTCTCAGCTTCCTGTGTGGCAGCACCTGGCACATAACTAGCGCTGGCAGCACTGTGTTAACCCTCTTATTCCCGGCCCAACCAGCGAGGCAGGCTCCTCTCAGTGCCCAGCTGCTGAGAATTCACGTTCTTCCCAGTGAAAAAAAGTCACCCCAGATCTGGCCGGCCCAGTGAGGGGCACTGGCTGAACACGGGAGGTCAAAGGGCGGGCAGACAGACCGTCCCCTGCCTCAGCAGCAGCTGCCACCTTGTTCAGACAGTCAAACACTTTTGCCTGCTGTTGTTCCCTCCACAGTTAACTGAATCTAAGGCCTTCAAATCAGGCCTATTTGTCTACCCAATAAAGTGTGGTTTTTCCAGAAACGAGTTGGGGAAGGTGCTTCAGTGCATTGTGGCAGTTTGTATGTTCTCATTTATTCCGCAAGGAAAAGGGAAAAAAGAAAGCCCTCCTTGCCCAGCTGGCTGGTCAGTGGTGAGCATCGACCTATGAACCAGGGGGTCAGGGCTCGATAGGGCACGTGCCCGGCCCAGTCGGGGGCGTGCAGGAGGCCACCAATAATGATGATTCTCATTATTGATGTTTCTATCTCTTCCTCACCTTTCCTCTCTGAAATCAATAAAAATATATTTTAAAAAAAAAAGAAGAAAGCCCTCCTCAATATTCCCAGCTGCTCCCTGCCCCCAGCAGGGCCCGCGCGGTTCTCCTGCCCCGAGGGGCACCCTCTCCTCCCCTCCCAGAGCGCCTTTGGGACTTCATCGCGCCCGGGAAGCAGAGAGGTCACCAGCGGAGGCCACACGGGGCAGAAACAGTCCTCGTGCCCACTCGCTGGCCCTGGCCGGACTCGCGGCCTCCCCGGGGCCCAGGCCTCACGGAGCGGGTCGGTTTCCTACCTGCGCTTGGCCACCGGGTAGAGGGCAGCTCCAGGCTCGAGGGGGCGCGAGGTTCAGCTCCGGAGGGCGGACCCGGGGAACCCCCCCGCTACCGCAGACTTCACTGCGCCGTAGGCTGGGGATTGGCTGACTGAGCCCGCGAGAAAGACCGTCTTTTCTTTCGTGACTGAGTCTCCTAAAAGTTCCAGTTCCAGAGTCTGAGTGACCGAAGACCCTCTCTCATGGGAAGACTACAAGCCCCAGAATCCAATGGGCCTCTCGGAAAGGGAGGCTCGTCTGAGGATGCGTAGTAAGCGTGGCGGGGTCGGAAGCCGGAAGTTCAAGGACGGCACCCAGCCTGGGCCGCGGGCGGCGCGGGCTCCCGCCTCTGTGTCCGGTACGCGGTGCACTCTCTCTGCGTTGGGAGTCGTATCCTAGAGGGTAATTGGGTGGGTGGGCGGGTGGAAGGGAGGGAGGAAGGGTGGCTTTCCTGACCAAGAGCACCTCAGTGTCTAGGGTTGTTCCTGGGCCGCCACCCTTGTGTCGGGTGCTGCGTCAGGCTGCGCGCTCTGTGCTGGCGAGACGCGGGCAGTGGAGGCCTTGGTTGGACGGGAGGGAGCTGCAACACCCAGGTACGCCGTCTGCTGGGGCGAGCTGAGGCCCGCCAGTTCGGCCGGCCTGTGCGGACCGCAGCCTCCGTGCCCTTGAAGTCACCGGTGTATCCTGCACTGCGAACGAGGCGATTTGCACTGCGTGCAGCCCAACAAGCTCCTTGCAGCTGTAGGTCCTGCCAAACCTCGACTCCAGCGGGGCTCTTGGCCCTCCGCGCTCCGACTCTAGTAGCTCTGACCTTGGGGGGTCAGCGTTCCTGGCCCTGCTGGGGTCCTGGCTAAGAATTTGCTTTTTACTTAATGACTTCCAGTTCAGTGCACTAAATTTTTACTTGAGGTTTACCTGTGACCTAGTCATCTATTCCCATCTGACCAGCCTTCAAGGCACATAACTTTGCAGTTGTGGTTCCCAATTTTCATTCTGGCCCAATGCACCTGAAAATGCAGTGACTTGATGCAGCAGAGACTTTCAAGCAGGAAGAGGGATATAGTTAAATGAAAAAGCCCCCCAGAAATATCTGGCATGTTCTTCCTACTTTCTTTCCCTAATTATTTTGCTTCTTCAAACTGGTGTTTCCTTGGCCTCTCTCTCTGGTCTTATCCCCTCTCTGCTTTGGTGTCACTTGTTACCTCCCAGGAGCTGTCCCGATTTGCATATCCATCTGCCTGATAGACATCATCACCTGAATATTGTGCTGAGCGTCTTAATTTTAAGGTGTCCAAAACCCAGCTCATGATCTTCTTGACTGACAGTGCGACCACCACCCTGGTGCACACACCTGTTTCTTCTTATTATTTGTTAACAGTGTCCCAATGGACAGTTTCCTAACTTGGAGATATTTTCAGCTTTGCCCTAATCCATTCAATTAATAAATCTTGAACTTCTGCATCTGTCTTCTTTTCTACATCCTGTCTTAGCTCAGGGTATGCGAAGAGTTTTTTAAAATTTGAAAATAGGAACAATCTTAGGTTGGATTAGACAAGAGAAGGAAGTGAGATTCTAGATACCAAAATCATGTCTATTAAGTCTTCTGTCACTCTTTTAGCCAAGCTGTACCATCTTGTTTCTTGGCTAGTGAATGCTTCCAGCCTTCTTCCTTCAGCTCCTCAAAGTGGTTAGCATCTGGCCAGGGTTATGGGGAATATGAGGGGAAAGAAGAAGTAAGGCGGAGGTTGAAGGTCTGCAAGTCTCTTAATATTCTGCTCTCTCTGTGTGTTTTCTTCAGTCTCACAGCTTGGGGTCCTTTCGAAGCTCAGATAACCTCATCTTGAGATTGTGCCATTTGGTTTTCTTCCTCTGACCTTATTGAGAGTCATTTGGAATTATAATTCAAGGAAGCTATGCCTCAGCTCAGCTTGGGGTCCACCTTCAAGGACTGGCTCTAAGGAAATGTTCAGCCCATAGAACTCACTCGGAGAAGCACTTATATCTCACCCTACTCCTGACTCCCTAAGCCAGCTAATCCTGAGCTTTTTCTTCTTCCAAATTCTTGACTTTTAAGAAACGTATTCTCACTCATTTCAGCTAGTCTTTTAATTTCAGGTCCCTCAACAAAGAGGAGTTTAAGAACACATTCATAGTCCCAAACTGAGGAACGTTTTGTTCAGGATGAGAGATTGTCATGCTAGACTTTCTCTTGTTCTCTAGCTCAGAATATCCAGGGAATGGTTAAATTATAAGTAATTTATCTCATGCAAATGTGAGTTAACAATTTGCTGGGGACTCCGTTTCTTTTTAGCCGTTGGGATAGGTGCTTTGTGTTGTGTTTGGAATTTAGAATTAATGCTGTGGAAGGTTGGCACTATTTCAGGAATATTACGGCTTAAACAGATGCTTGAGGTCTAACCTGGGAACCTAACCACCGTGAATAAGATTGTTTTTATGGGAAAATAAATTGGATATTGCCTAGAAGGTTCCCATTTGATCTCCTACAGAGAATAATTTACTGCTAATGTTTAATCCCTGGCTACCTCCATTAATTGCCCGTTAGTCAGAAAAACTGATGCATGCTTAATGTACCAGTTAACATTTCTGGGTGGTCCGTACCAGTCACTTCTTTCCAAAAATATGGAGGGTGAGGTGTTAGCTGTGATGTCATTCAGATTCACCTGGTTCCAGCTGTGTGTCTGTGTCTCATGTAGATTTTATTTGCCCTTTTGAAACTTAGAATTCCCAAACGTTGTCTTCCATTGTAAGACTCTGCATCCATGTAGGGGCCATTCAGTAGAGTAGACAGACTAAGCAGGGTGCACAAGTTATGGAATGGCTTTAAACAGGGAAGTGGGCTGGGCACATGAGACCTATCCTGGTGTCTAAATTCAGTCTTTCTTTGTAGGGGACGACATGCCAACTGCCAAGCAACTAGCTGACATTGGCTACAAGACTTTCTCCACCTCCATGATGCTCCTTACTGTGTATGGGGGCTACCTCTGCAGTGTTCGAGCCTACCACTTTTTCCAGCGGCGCAGCTCCCGGCGCCAGGCTGCAGAAGAACAGAAGACCTCAGGAGTCCTGTAGAACTGGGGGGCTCTTTTCCTTGACCAGAGAGGCCTGAGGCATGCTGTGGAAAGAGCTCACCTACAGTCATCCAAATCAAGAGAACCAGGGCCTTAATGGTTTTCAAGTCCTGCTGGGGATAAGTGCCCGTGTTTTCTCTGGAACTGCCAGTTTAAGGAGGCTCTCAAATCGTAGCAGGAATTGGGGCAGAGGGAGGCACATGCACAGACATTAAATATTTTTCATGTGTCTGTGTCTTGGTGTGTTTGTTTATTTAAATAGGCTACGGACCACAGAGGTCGGCCCTTAACTACCAGTTTTCTAGTCATAGACTGGATTTCCACGATCTTGAGCTCTTAATACCTATGAAGTGGGTATTATACAGTTTTAGGAGTATATATCAACTTTCATGACCTCAGAGAAATGACTGTCCTAGCAGCTGTAGAAATCCCCCCAAAATTCGACTGAAGACCAGAGCTCTTTGGTCAATGACCATTTCTGCACTAATTACTGTGTCCAGGTAATGGGATACTCTGGCTAGCATTTAAGGAAGGCAGAGGCCCTTGTTTAACAGTCCTCTCAAAATTGCACCAAGTGGAGGAGGCTCAATTCCCAAAAGGAAGGGTTGTTGGGCAGCCTATAGTAATATAGTTCACCTCCTTAAGCTCATTGGGTGTAGTGTTAGCATAAGGGTCGATTTCTCACTGTTCCACTGTACAGGAAATCAAACCTGCAGGTCTTATTACAGAGCTGTGAAGAGGATTTGAAAGAAAACTGTATTCAAGGTAAAACCCAACTATGAAGAGAGGTATTGTTACCACCATTCCATTTTGAGCTTTGAGATTTACTAGTTCATGCCCTTGGTGATCACCCCAAATATCAACCTCCTTGGACACCTTTCCTTTTTCATGCTCTTTGTGCATATTGCTCTGACCTTGTCCCTCCTAAAGCTTTCACCTAAAAGCCCTCTTCCATGATTAAAAAAACTGAGCTTTAGTCCTGGCCAGTGTGCTCAGTGGTTAGAGCATCAGCCTGTGCACAGAAGGGTCTTGAGTTTGATTCCCAGTCAAGGTCATGTACTTGGATTGCAAACCCTAGCCCAGTCGGGGCCCGCGCAGGAAGCAACCAGTTGATGTGTCTCTCACATCTCTCTTTCTAAAAATCTATGGAAAAATATCATTGGGTGAGCATTAACAACAAAAAAAACCCCAGCTTTAGCCCTGACCAGGTAGCTCAGTTGGTTAGAGTGTTGTCCCATACTTCCTGGTTGTGGGTTCAATCTCTGATCAGGGCACATACAAGAATCAACCAATGAATGCAATGCTTAAATAAGTGGAACAACAAATCCATGCTTCTTTCTCCCTTCCTCTCTAAAATAAAGAACAACAACAAAACAACCCAGCTTTCCTACATTTTCAACCCTTTTACTCCCATCCTCTCTTGGTGTATTAACCAAGGACTCTACTGCCTCTTCTGCTTTCTCACATGTACAGTTAGGGTCACCATTCTCTCAGCTGTCCCCTGTGCCACTTTCAAAATAGTACAAAATCAGTCTTTTTTGAGGCGATTTCTTACATTCTCATTTCCATTCTATTCTAGAACTTGGAGATTTCAAATTGTTTGACTCCTTTAATTTTATTCCAATCTCAGTCCCTTATTGGCCTAAACTTCTTCCCTGTCCAGCCTATGCCCATAGTTGGTCCCCTAAACAACTTCTCTGCAGTCTCTGCCTCCATCCTTAGCCTTCTTAATTCTACTCCTTGCTCCTTTAGTTATCTCTTCTCAATATATAAACTTGCTTAAGGCCCTCCACCCCCAATCAAAACAAACTATGAAGATTATTTCAAGAGAAGTCTCACATGGTAGCACTTCTGAAACTTGAAGTTCCTTCCACCTCCACCACTTCATTGAAATTCCGTCAACATTCCCTCCTTTGTGCCACATCCACTGATGATTTCAGTCCTCCCCTTACTGTTTCCTGAGGCACTAAAGCTCTACTTCGGCTGCAGGAAGGGACCACTATCTTGTTCCCTTTTACCACTTTGATTTTTCCTTTTCATTTCCTCTGCCCACTTTAAACACTAATGTGTTACAAAATTTTGTTCTTGGCCTATTGCTCTTATTTTGTATTTTTCTCAGTTAATCTAGGTAATTAATGGTTCTAACATTACAGAATGTAGTTAGGTGCTCAGTGCTGGTATCTTGGCTCCACCATTATAGCTATCTGGTAATAGGCCAGTTATTAACTCTTAACTCCCCAGTTTACCTTTGTCAAATGGGGATAAAAAAATAATTCCTAATTTAACAGATTAGTTTGAGTATTAAATAAGATAATTCATATTGAGTATTTAATATTCTGTCTGGCACATGGTAAGCACACAGTATCAGCCATTAATGCCTGATGCTGACCTCCAAGTCTGTATCTTACAGGTTGACTTGAGTTTCAGGTACATCCAATTGCTTGATATATCCACTTGAATTTCCTATAGTTCTAACTTGACAGGTCCACAACTAACAGCATTCTTTCTCATCTCCAGGACTTACTTGCGGTTTCTCCCTATTTTAGTTAATGACACTATCATCCAAGTCAGAAATATGGGAGATTTATTAGACTACTAGAGGCCCAATGCACGAAATTTGTGCATGGGTAGGGTCCCTAGGCCCGGCTGGCGATCAGGGCCGATCAATGGGTGACTGGCGGGATGATGGGAGTGGGGGGTGCTGGCACCCACCTTGGCTGGCCTGGTGCTGCCTGCTCGCCAGCCTTGCCCCCCTGCTGCTGCCACAGGTCACCTCCCTCTGCAGGGCGACTGGCAGGGTAATGCCCCCCCCCCCCCCATCCACCTTGGCTGGCCTGGGGGCAGCTTCTGTGTTGAGCGTCTGCCCCCTGGTGGTCAGTGTGCATCATAGCCACTGGTTATTCCACCAGTTATTTCACTGTTTGGTCAATTTGCATATTAGGCTTTTATTATTTAGGATTCCCTGCACTCTAATCCAAACCAGGTACTATTAATTTTTACCATTTAGATATCCATTTAATAAATTCTACCCTTATAAATTCTTGCTTATTCCTTTTTTCTTTTTTAAGAGAGGAAAGGAGAAATATCAATTTGTTTTCCACTTATGCATTCCTTGGTTGATTCTTATTTGTGCCCTGACCGGGGATCAAACCCACAACCTTGGCGTATTGGGATGATGCCTATACTCTCGCAGGTTTTTAGTGGTCTTGGTTCCAGTCTTGACCTCATCAGATTAATTTGCCACATTTCCATCAGAGACATCTATTGGAACAAGTTTAATTATGGCATTCCCCTGCTTTAGATCACCCCTAAAGCTCAACCATAGACAATAGGTTAAAGAATCCCTGACCTATAGGGTCAAGTCCAGACTCCTTAGTATGGCATATGAAGTCCTTAGAGCTGACCCACCTCATCCTTTATTCTAGTAATATCAAACTGCCTGACTGGTTGCACAGTTTCTTGTTTTCATGCCTGTTCATGCTTCTTTCTGAATAGAACATCATCTCTACCCACCTCCCTATCCTCTCTTTTTTCCAAAAAGGTTTCTGTGACCCTTCCCCTTTCCATGCTGAGCCTAGTGTCTATAAAAGATAACACTTTTCGTCCTAACTGGTTTGGCTCAGTGGATAGAGTGTCGGCCTGCAGACTAAAGGGTCCCAGGTTCGATTCCGGTCAAGGGCATGTACCTTGGTTGTGGGTACATCCCCAGTGGGGACTGTGCAGGAGGCACCTAAATCGATGTTTCTCTCTCATCGATGTTTCTAACTCTCAATCCCTCTCCCTTCCTCTCTGGAAAAAATAAAATATATTTAAAAAGAAAACACTTTTCATATAAAATTACCTTTTTAAAATTGATTTTAGAGAGAGGAGAGAGAAAAAAACCCACATTGATTTGTTGTTTCACTTATTTACTAGTATCTAGGGGCCCACTGAGAGCCATCTCATTAGCATACAAAAAACACAATTATCTGGAGATTCCAAGGTCTTAGAAGTTATTTATTTATTTTTTTAAAATACATTTTATTGCTTTTTTACAGAGAGGAAGGGAGAGGGACAGAGAGTCAGAAACACCGATGAGAGAGAAACATCGATCAGCTGCCTGCCTCCTGCACACTCCCTACTGGGGATGTGCCCGAAACCAAGGCACATGCCCTTGACCGGAATCGAACCTGGGACCCCCCAGTCCGCAGGCCGACCCTCTATCCACTGAGCCAAACCAGTTAGGCTTAGAAGTTCTTTGCCAAAAATCTAGGATGAAGATGAAATACCTATCTGCAGACTTTGAGTAAAGCAAGTTATTTTCTGTAATGTGAATGGGCCTCATCCAATCAGCTGAAGGCTTTAAGAGCAAAGACAGGGTTCCCAGAAAGGAATTATGCATCAAAACTGTAACACAGAAACTGCCCAAAGTTCCAACCTGTAGATCTTGGATGCAACACAACTCCTCCCTGAATTTCCAGCCTGCCACCTGCTTTACAAATTTCAGACTTGCTAGTCCCTACAATTGTATGAGGCAAGTCTTTAAATCAGTCTCATTCTTTTTTTAAAAAGTGTTTTTATTGGTTTTTAGAGAGACAGGGAGAGGAAGAGAGAGAATCATCAATGATGAGAGAGAATCATGGATTGGTTGCTTCCCACATCCCCCCCACTGGAGATCGAGCCCGCAACCCTGGCTTGTACCTTAACAGGAAATCGAACGGGGACCTCCCGGTTCATGGGTTGATGCCCAACCACTGAGTCACACTGGCTGGGTGAAATCAGTCATTCTTGCTCTCTCCAGGGGTAGGGAATGTCCAGCCCAAGGGCTGTATAAAGAAGGCCCTCGAAATCATTTGGTCTGGCCCTGCCAAGGCATTAGGGGTGAGTTAATTAAATGATTGACCAAATATAGCAGGCTATTTTTTTAAAAATATATTTTATTGAATTCTTAAAGAGAGGAAGGGAGAGGGATAGAGAGTTAGAAACATCGAAGAGAGAGAAACATCGATCAGCTGCCTCCTGCACACCGCCTACTGGGGATGTGCCCGCAACCAAGGTACATGCCCTTGACTGGAATCGAACCTGGGACCCTTCAGTCCGCAGGCCGACGCTCTATCCACTGAGCCAAACCGGTTAGGGCGCAGGCTAATTTTTAAGTTGATAATTTTGTATGGCCTGCAAATGATGTTATAAATATCCAAATGGCCTTTGGTAGGAAAATGGTTCCCCGCACCTGCGTGAATCTAACCT